ATGGTCAAATGACTTTTTTTAAAATGTTTTATTTACTCCTGAGAGAGAAAGAGAGACAGCGTGAGCAGGGGAGGGTCAGAGAGAGAGGGAGACACAGGATCCGAAACAGGCTCCAGGCTCTGAGCTAGCTGTCAGCACAGAGCCCGATGCGGAGCTCGAACCCAAGAACAGTGAGATCATGACCTGAGCTGAAGTCGGACACTTAACCGACTGAGCCACCCAGGTGCCCCCATGGTCAAATAATTTTTGACAAGGGCATGTTTCAGTTTCTATTTGGTGGGAGAGGACAATCTTTTCAACAAATGGGCTAGGAAAACTGGATATACACATGAAAAAGAATTAACTTACACCATACAGAAAAATTAACTCAAAATGGATCAAGGACCCCAATGTTAGGGCTAGAACTGTAATTACAAATCTTAGAAGAAAACAGGAAAAAAAAAAAAAGGTTCATGACACTGGGTCTAGTAATGATTTCTTCGATGTGACACCAAAGGCACAGGTAACATGAGGAAAAAGCAGGTAAATTAGACATCATCAAAATAAAAAACTTCTGCACAAAGGGTATAATCAAGAGAGAGAAAAGGGAACCCATGGAATGGAAGAAAATATCTGCAAATCATGTATCCAATTAGGAATGATACTCAGAACATATAAAGAACTCCTACAACTCAACAAGAAAAAACCAACCCAATAAAAAAATGTGTCAAAGACCTGAACAGAGATTTCTCTACAGAAGAACGAGTGTCCCAAAAATGCATGAAAAGATGCTCAACATCATCAGTCATCAGGGAAATGCAAATCAAAACCAGGAGATACCGTGGCACACTTATTACGATGGCTATTATAAACACACACACACACACACACACACACACACACACAAAGTTAAGTGTTGGCAAGGATATGGAGTAATTGAAACTCCTGTATATTACTAACAGAAATGTAAAAGACAGCTAATGTGGAAAGCAGGATGGCATTTCCTTAAAAAATTAAGGAATTAATTTTCTTACACCATACACAAAAATAAACTCAAAATGGAAGAAAGACCTAAAAGTAAAGACAGGAAGCCACCAAAATCCTAGAGGAGAAAGCAGGCAAAAACCTCTCTGACTTTGGCCACAGCAACCTTCTTACTCAACTCAATCTTCTTACTTCTTGCTCTGGAGGCAAGGGAAATAAAAGCAAAAATGAACTATTGGGACCTCATCAAAATAAAAAGCTTCTGCAAGGCAAAGGACACAATCAGCGAAACTAAGCCGCAACCAACAGAACGGGAGAAGATATTTGCAAATGGCAAATAAGATAAAGGGTTAGTATCCAAAATCTATAAAGAACTACCAAACTCAACACACAAAAACCAAATAATCCAGTGAAGAAAATGGGCTAAAGACATGAACGGACACTTCTCCAAAGAAGACATCCAGATAGCCAACCAACACATGAAAAAATCCTCAACATCACTTATCATGAGGGAAATACAAATCAAAACCACAATGAGATACCACGTCACACCTGTCAGAATGGCTAACATTAACAACTCAGGGAACGACAGATATTAGCGAGGATATGGAGAAAGAGGATCTCTTTTGCACTACTGGTGGGAATGCCAACTGGTGCAGCAAGTCTAGAAAACAGTATGGAGGTTCCTCAAAAAATTAAAAATAGAACTACCCTACGACCCAGCAATTGCACTACTAGTTATTTATCCAAGGGACAAGGTGTGCTGTTTCGAAGGGGCACATGCCCCCCCAATGTTTACAGCATTGCTATCGACAATAGCCAAGGTATGGAAAGAGCTCAAATGCCCATAGACAGATGAATGCATAAAGATGCGGTATATATATACAATGGAGTATTACCTGGCAATCAAAAAGAATGAAATCTCACCATTTCCAACTATGTGGATGGAACTAGAGGGTATTATGCTAAGTGAAATCAGTCAGAGAAAGACAAATATCATGTGACTTCACTCATATGAGGAATTTAAGATATAAAACAGATGAACATAAGGGAAGGGAAGCAAAAATAATATAGAAACAGGGAGGGGAACAAAACATAAGAGACTCATATAAAGAAAAAACAGAGGGTTGCTGGAAGGGTTGTAGGAGGGGAATAGGCTAAATGGGTGAGGGGAATTAAGGAATATACTCCTGAAATCATTGTTATACTATGTGCTAACTAAAATAAATACAGAATTATCACACAATTCCTCTTGTGGGATATAGTCAAAAGGACTAAAATCAGCATTATTCACGGTAACAAAAAGATAGAAATGACCATCGATTGTATCCATTGATAGATTAATGAATAAACAAACTGGAATATTATTCAGCCTTAATTAGCAAGGAAATTTTGACCCACGCTACAACATGGATGGACCTTGAAGACATTATGCTAAATGATATAAGCTGTCATAAAAGGCAAATATTGTACAATTCCATTTGTTTGAGGTTCCTAGGGCAGTTAAATACTGAGAAAGAAAGAAAATACAGAGAGAGAAAGCAGAATGGTGGGTCTCAGTGGATGACTGTCATACTTGGATTTTCACTGAAGGACCTTCAAATATCAATACCCAAAGGTCTTTTCACTAGCCCTCATCAAGTTTCCCAGGGAAGACTCATCTCCAGGTAGGCTCCTCTTCATACTTTATCAAATGGTGTAAGTTCTTTTTTTTTTTTTTTTTTTTAATGTTTTATTTATTTCTAAGAGAGAGAGAGAGACAGCGTGAGCAGGGGAGGGTCAGAGAGAGAGGGAATCACAGACTCCGAAACAGGCTCCAGGCTCTGAGCTGGCAGTCAGCACAGAGCCCGAAGCGAGGCTCGAACCCAAGAACCGCAAGATCATGACCCAAGAGAAAGTCGGACGCTTAACCGACTAAGCCAACCAGGCGCCCCTCAAATGGTGTAAGTTCAGTGTTTATGTACGTCCATTGTTTATTGCCTGTTCCCTCTCTGATAAAACTATAAGCTGCTTGAAGGCACACCTGTGTGGTATTTTTTTTTGCTATATCCCCAGAGTCTAGAAAAGCATAAATGCATAAATATAAACAGGCACTCAATAAGTATCTGCTGAATGAATGAATCACAAATTTATGGATCACTCAACATGTGTGAAGAATGATGCTATTTCATAATTACAAACTTAATTAAACCTTAAATTACTACATGTGTGAGAGTATTCTCATTTTACCAATGAGGTCAGGTATAGGAAGGTTAGGTAACCTATCTGCAGAAACTAAGTCACAGCTAAGATTCAAACACAGGGCCTATATGATTTCAAAGTTCATCTTAATTACTATACTCTATCACCTTCTACAGAGAAATTGTGTAGTGTTTGTCCCTGAGAATAAGAATCTATATGCATGGGTTGCCTGGGTGGCTCAGTCAGTTAAGTGTCTGACTTCAGGTCAGGTCATGATCTTGCGGTTTGTGAGTCCAAGTCCCACATCAGGTTCTGTGCTGACAGCTTAGAGCCTGGAGCCTGCTTGACATTCTGGGTCTCCCTCTCTCTGGCCCTCCCTTGCTCACACTCTGTCTGTTTCTCTCTCAAATATTAATAAACATTAAAATTTAAAAAAAATAAGAATGTACATGCTAATGATATAATCTATGAGGTATGGTCTGCTGTATACTGTCCTAGTTAGATATAATATGAATAATGAAGAACCTGAAGAATGTGAGTTTGGAGGGGGCAGTGAACCCCTGCTATAGTCAAACATGGTTATTGATGCAAATACATTACATCTAAGGGGGGGGGCGGAGTCTCACAAGACACAGAAATGGCTGGCAGAAAACTGCTGGTTACCCTGTCTAATTCTAATTAAAAATGAGGTATGAACTGATATCTGGCAGTGTACTCTGGGATAAGCCATATGAAGAAGACAACAGTTTATTAGTGGTTATTTCCAAACTTCCAAATTTATTTTAGAAATGCAAACTTACTTTCTCATGAAATACTTGTAAGATTTAACATGCCCTTTAAATGCAATTAGATTGCTAAATTAGAAATTTAGTTTAGGAGTCTATCAATCCACACCTAAAAATCTACAGCATTTGAAGGCAAATGATCATCTGTAATTTATGGTTATATTTCTGTATGATTAGTGATTACAGCCGGAGCCAGCTTTTACAGCGACAGGCAGTGTAGTGCAGTGGGAAGTCACGTGGGCTGTGAGGCCTGACTGCCTGGAGTCCCTAACAGCTTGCTCGTCATGGAACCAGGGTAACTTCTATCAGGAAAGCAATGCCAAAAAAGCTTATCTATGATAACTACTACCTCACAGGAGTAAGAACAGTAACCAACTATAAATTTACGATGCTCAAGACTTGATACAAAAGCCTCAAACAGTAAAGCTATGCAATTCTGAGTTACTTAAATATTATAAATTTTACCTATTAAGAAAGCAAACACCAATTTGGGGGGATTTCCTGGAAAAAAGATATCGTACAAGGAAAGATATTTTACAAAATTTGCCCCCATTTTCTAACATGGTAACTAGCTTCCTAACCTCCACAACTGAATGCTTCCTTTCTCTGTTTATTAAGAGTAATATTTTAAGGTTTATACATGACTTCTCCTTTGCAAATTACAAAATACTCTGTGTTACTGTAACAAATGAAACAAGATTTAGAAGTATAATAAAGACGAAAGTAATCCATCTTCTCATATCTATTTCTCATCTCATCCCCTAGGGTAAACAATATCACGAGTACAAATACTTTTTATAAGTTCATGTTTTTATTTTCAAAATCACTACAAGGGCACTTGGTGGCTCAGTTGGTTCAGCGTCCGACTCTTGGTTTCAGTTTGGGTCATGATCCCAGGGTTGTGGGATCAAGGCCTATGTGGGGCTCCGTGCTAAGTGTGAGGCCTGCTTGAGATTCCCGCTCTCTCTCATTTCTCCTCCTCCATCCTTTCTCCCCCACTTGTGCTCTCTCACTCTCTCTAAAATAACAAAAATTAAAAATTCACTACAGATGTGCCACTCAAAAGCTTACCTCTAGATATATTGATGGCGGATTATGCTCCCCACCGAATTTGTCCAATAGGGCCTCTATATGTTCCTGCGTCAACTTAATCATCTGTTTGATATTCCACACCTGAAAAATATTTTCAAAGAATGTAAATAAGAATCATTTAGACTATGAATTAGAAAGTTATATTTTAATATTTTGAAATTTAGAGCTTAGAGACCTGTGAGACCATTTAGCATAGCAATTTTTCCCATTTATTATTAAACATCTAAAAACTCTCTTCTACACTAGTAGTACAATATATGCTCAGCTGTAAAAGATTCAAATAATACACGAGTATTCAGAATAAATGATGAAAGTCTTTTCACCTTCCCCACATTCCTGGACCCACTGCCCAAAACTCCAGTGCTATTTACAGTTTGCTATACATCCTTTCCACATCTCCTTTTTATTAAAGTAAACATAATACATAAACCAAGTACACAAATACATACAAATATTATATATAAAAATACTTTTTTCTCTTTTTCAGATTTTATTTTATTTATTTATTTTACAAATAGTTTATTGTCAAATTGGTTTCCATATAACACCCAGTGCTCATCCCCACAAGTGCCCTCCTTCATGCCCCATCCCCCCCCCCAATCCATCAGTCCTCAGTTTTTGTCAGCATTCAAGAGTCTCTCACGGTTTGCCTCTCTCCCTTTCCCCCACCATTTCCCCCCTTCTTCTCCCCCATGGTCCTCAGTTAAGTTCCTCCTAATCCTCCTATACGTGCAAACATATGATATTTGTCCTTCTCTGCCTGACTTATTTCGCTCAGCATAACACCCTCAAGGTCCATCCATGTTGCTACACATGGCCAGATTTCATTGTTTCTCATTGCCATGTAGTATTCCATGGTATAGATAAACCACATCTTCTTGATCCATTCATCTGTTGATGGACACTTAGGCTCTTTCCATGTTTTAGCTATTGTGGAGAGTGCTGCTATGAACACTGGGGTACATGTGCTCCTATGCCTCAGCATTTCTGTATCCCTTGGGTAAATTCCTAGCAGTGCTATTGCTGGGTCCTAGGGGAGTTCTAGTGTTAGTTTCCTTAGGAACCTCCACACTGTTTTCCAGAGGGGCTGCACCAGTTTACATTCCCACCAACAGTTTAGGAGGGTGCCCGTTTCTCCACATCCTCGCCAGCATCTAGAGTTCTCTGATTTGCTCATTTTAGCCACTCTGACTGGCGTGAGGTGGTATCTCAGTGTGGTTTTGATCTGTATTTCCCTGATGAGGAGGGATGCTGAGCATCGTTTCATGTGAATGTTGGCCATCTGGATGTCCTCTTTGGAGAAGTGTCTGTTCATATCTTCTGCCCATTTCTTCACTGGGGTGTTTGTTTTTCAGGTGTGGAGTTTGGTAAGTTCCTTATAGATTTTGGATACTAGCCCTTAATCTGATATGTCATTTGCGACTATCTTTTCCCATTCCGTTGGTTGCCTATTAGTTTTGTGAGTTGTTTCCTTTGCTGTGCAGAAGCTTATAAAAAATACTTTTAATACTTGCTTTTTTCCCTGAACAACATTCCTCAAAGTTCTTTCAATACAGACATATTTTACTTTTTTTAAATGGCGGTGGTAAGGGTGGAAACATTCATTTTGTAATATTGTTATGACGCTGCTGATTTTCAATGGCCTCAAACTTCAAGAGCAACCTAACAGTGGGTGGACATGGATAATTTTAGGAGAAACAATTTTTAGCTCCTTGATGTTTATGTGTACTCTTCCTAACTGAACTGTTTGAGAACTAGTTCTCCTTTCCTTCTCTCCCTTTAAAATCACCACATTGTAATTCTACACTCTGTACAAGCAAGGCAAAATTCTTATCCAACTCAAATCCTACTAAGATGCACTGTTCTGAGATGTATATTCAAAGTACTGAGCAAACAAGAGGGAAAAACCCCTTGAGAGAAAAGGGCGGGGTTTAAAATCACTTATTTTATCAGTGAAATAAATTCTTGGCAGGGTTCCAAGCCTCATCCATTTATCCAGCTGGCCAGCATAGAATTCAGAAGTTAGGTTATAGTACAGGCATATATTCTGTGTTTATTTTAAAATTAAAAAGTCATTTTTTTCCTTGATGAAGAGTGAGTCCAATTTATCTAAATGGTTAGAGAATCTGCTTGAAAATTACACCAGATACTAGATACTCAATAACTGCATGATCTAAACCTGGAATTCTAAGGTTAAATAGCATAAACAGCATTAATATATTGCACACTGGACATTATGGCCTTTTAAACTGCTAGAAGTTTAAACTTAAAAATGTGAGATAATCACAAATGTACAAGAGGGCATAGATAGATGAACAAGGGGGTTTCAGGACCCCCTGATAATTCTCTTACTAGAGGTTATTCAGATTATTCTTTTTTTCTCAACTTCAAACAATGCTTCAATGAATAATTCTGAGTTGCCTTTCTGGGCACAGGTTTAAGTTTTACTTTTAGATATCAATGCATAGGACTCCTGAATTGAAGGTTACGTGCATTTAAAAATTCAATAAATGTGTCACATGGTCTTCTGAAAGAAACAAAGTACCAAGTCATACTCTACTAGGAGGGTATGAGTCCACGCTTTTCCCCATAATCCCACCAACACTGGGTATGATCAAACTTTTGAATCATTTGCCAATCTGAAGGGAGGAAAGGTGATCTTGTTGTTTTAATATGTATTTCCCAGAAAACCATTTTTCATGTTTACTGGACATTTACATTTCTTTTTGGAAAATTCCCCATCCATATTCTTTCTTTTATTTTTATTTTCTTGTTGATTTATAGATACCTTTTGTTCTAGGTATTTTACACTTTAATCCTTATTCTCCTTCAAAGTTGCGGGGTTTTCATGTTTTTCACTTTGTGCCTCATTTGTTATACAAAGTCCTGCCACTCAAAAGTGATCCAAAGACCGGCAGCAGCATAATCTTCTGGAAGCATGCTATATGTGCAGAATCTCAGGCCTCATCTCAGAGCTACTGAACTTTAACAGAATGATTCATATTAAAATTTGAGAAGCAATGACAGAAGTTTCCTTTTCTTCTTATTGTCAAATATTGCAGTATTTCCCTTTATGACTCCATGGCTAATTTTTCATATCCCCAAAAAGCATTAGAGGTCTCTTTTTCTCTAGCTCTACTTATTCCCCAGGTGACCTTATCCAGTCTTGTGGCTTTATATGCCAAATATGGACTGATGAAGCCCAGATTTTAAAATCAAGTTCTGTCCTTTCAACTCCAGACCCTTTTTGTCCCACTACCTACTGAACATCTCCACTAAGATAACTAATAGACATCGCAAACTTAGCATGTTCAAAGACTAACTTCTGGTCTAACCCACGATCCCCCCTGAAATTCTTTTACTTACAGTCTCTTCATCTCAGTCAATGATTAACTCCCACCCTCTATGATGAGTTCATTGACCATACAAGCAGAAGTGCTTTTTATGTTTTTCCTATCTATTAGCTGCTTTGAGATCAGAAACATGTTTTATCTATCTTTTGCTTCCCCATCACTTATCTTGGTGTCTTAGTCATAACAGCTATTCAATCAGTGCTAAAGCTATGACTCAAGCTGCCTTTAGAATAGGGTAAGAGAGGAAAAATTAATCCTAGTGCAGGGGGGAAAAATCCTAGTTCAGGGGTTCTTTCCAGTCCAGTAAATAAATGAAGATGTTATTATCCAAAGCCTTGTTGTTGTTGTTTTGTTTTTTTAAAAGCTTCATAGATAAAACTCAGGTACAGTTACAGTAAAGAACCACTCCCCAAAGGATGAGAGAAAGAAAAAAATTAGAATAGGGAAAGAGAATGAACATGAGGAAAATTATGGAACTGAGCTGATTAAAACTGATTCGAATAAACTTTTTTTATTGGGGAATAGAAAATGATAAGCTTGGTTACACAGGGCAGAGCCAGACCATGAATTTTCTGAAATAAGATTTCTTAATTCCCGGAACAAAAGTAATTTTACATCCAAAGAATGAAGGAAAATCACTATGAGCCCTTGCTGAAATTAGAGAAGAGTGATAGAAAAAATTCACTCAGGTTTCCCCAGAAGAGTAAGAAAAAGAACTTTGATAATAATTATTAAATAGAGATATATTTAAAAATAGAGTAAGACATTGTAAAACTAAGAGAAGATATGTAGTTTTGTCCTTCAAATGCCTTCTTGGAAAAAATGAGGAAAATCTGTTTCAAAAATCTTTAAAGGGAAATCAGAGAATTAAAAACAGAAGCAAAAGAATTCAAGAAAGGTATTAGATTTCCTGACCTGTTTTGATCTCTTCAGTGGACCACAGCAATTAAAATCAGGCAATCTTAGTAAACAATCAATCATTTCTAGTGCTTTTACAGAGGGCAAAATTCCCTTCCCCACAAAAATGAACTTTTTTAACACCCACCTCAGAAGATGTCTATATTAAAATATAAATTAATAAGATATAAATTCAGACAAAAAGCTATGGAAGGAACTGCAGGGCAGCAATGGCACAGAAAACGACAGCCACTGGCTCCCTACGTCCCAATAAAAAGGCATCAAGTCTGGATTATTACATGATTGGTTTCCATCAAACCTTTAAAGAAAATATAGTAAGTTATTAATAGGTGATGTCATATAAAAAAGGAAAATCTTCCAAATTCATTTTATAAAATCAGCAAAATCTAGATGTCCAAACTTGACAAAGATAATACAAAAAGGAAACACACACACACACACACAAAATAATCCAAACTGTGAGGATAGTAAACCTCTTAAATTCCATGTTCCCTCTCAGTCCCCTCTACCTCTCTCTCATTCTTTCTCTCATTCATAGTCATTCATCAGGAATCCAGTAAAATAATACTTAACAGGTCAAAGGAGAAAATCACAGGACTAAACTAACAGATGCCCAAACAACAAATGACTATTACCAAAGGTAAAACAAATTTATTTAAACAAACTTATTTAAAATAAATAATTCAAAAAGACAGACATGGTCCTAAAATTTCAGAAGAATTGCTAAAAGAATCATGGCATTGAAAGCATGAAGGCTAGAGAATCAGTTCGTCAGGGGAAAAGATTCTGAGTAATTCCTGTACAATAAAA